AGGGACTAGGCCCAGAGTCACTGTCGACCGCTCTCGTCCTTTGAACTGTTTATAAACACTTCCGTTCTGTAGCCTGCGTCACCCCAACAATAGGGAGGTCCTAAAATTAGCTCAGAAATGTACACGAGATCACGCACTCTGCAGAGAAAATCTACCTTGATGGTAGACTTCTTAACCCCATTTCCCTGCTTTTTTCCCCCACACCCCCTCATCTCCCCTTTCCTTCTCAAGTCTCTATCCATCTCCCTTCTAAATTTGCCGATCCATTTTGCCTTGAAGGCCACCTGGGCTGTGTGTCCACATTCTCAGTGCCCTGTGTGGGGAGCAATGTTTCCTGATCTCAGCATTATCTGGCGGTGTTTGTGGGCTCTGGGCTGTGTCTGGCAGCAATGTGGGAGTACGTGCAGCACAAGGAAGGTCACTGGCTTGAACTCCGCAGAGTCTGCCATTCATACAGCCCTGTAACCCGCTCGCATACAGCCCTGTAACCAAGCAAACCCCAGAGAGCTGAAAGCAGACTGCACAACAACTCACATTCAATAATAATAATCCTTCCGTTTAATATAGCACCTCATCATGTCATTGAGATTTCTCAGGAAGCTCTTCACAGAATATTGTAAAGTGGATTGACTGTATTTTGGGGGCCAATGCTGCTCACAGCAATATCATGCCCCACAAACAGCCATGAAGTGAGTGACCAATTTTATTTGGGGGAATGTTGACCAGGACACCGGGGGAGAGAAACTCCTTTCTCTATTCGAATAACGCTGCAGGATCTTTAACATCCACCTGAACAGGCAGACAAGACAGGACCTTGGTTTACCGTCAGAAGGACAGCACCTCCGACAATCCAACATACATCTTGCACTGATTATGTGATTCCAAGTCCTGATGTGGGGCTTGAACCCACAACCTTCTGAACTCAGAGGTGAGAGTGTTACCACTGTGTCAGGGTGACACAGGACAGAGCCTTTCACAACGGGAGGAAATCTGAAAGGGCTTCACTGCAAAACTATATTGACTACTTGTTTTGTAGGTGAACATAAACCACCTTTCATCCCAAAGAAATCTCTCAAAGATCTTCACAACCATTCACCCCAAAGAAAGCACTTGAAAGCGCTTTGGAACAACTCGTATTTACACAGTGCTCTAACCTCAAAGACGGGTCTTGAAACTTCCCGACAACTCCCACACACAAGGTCTTTCACAGAGTGAGATGAAGCAGAAACAAAGTGAATGTTATGGAGACAAACCCACTCCAGCAGCACCCCCACAAGCAGCAATCATCAGCATATTGGGATGGGGATGAGCATTGACATAGATTATACAGTATACTCCCCCTCTCCCCCTCCCTCCCTCTCCAACTGAGACTGCTTATACTCCACACGAGTCTCCCCACTCCTCACTCTCTCCCACTATTCCCTGCTGCATCATACTATGACTTCTCAATGACTTATAGTGATTAAGGCGCTACATCCAACGCAAGGATTATTATTAGTATTCTCTTAAAGAATCTGAAAGGACACATAACCCAGCATTAACAGTTATTTATTTTGTTCGGATATAGCGCCTTTCACGTGGGGAGGACATCCCCGGCAGCAAAACACTCAGGGCAGCAGCAGGAAGGCGGGCGAGAGTGGGGGTATGCGCGCAACAAGCCAAAGAGAATAAAGTAATACTCTTCCCAAACAGAAACAAAAGTGGGTAACACGTAAGGTAAGAAGTGGGATTGCACAGCCGTGACCAGCCCCGCGCACACGCGGCCCGTTACCCACACAGTAATCTGTGTCCTGTCACAGTGCTGCAGCACAATACCAAGACACCGCCAAACAGAGCGGAGACCAGTGCTGCAACCAGCCCGATCCCACAGGCACTCCTTACACTCTGTCCCCCCTCCCTCCCACTCTCCCTCCCTCTCACACACTCTCTCCCTCCCACTCTCCCTCCCTCCCACACACTCTCTTCCTCCCACTCTCCCTCCCTCCCTCTCTCCCTCCCTCTCACACACTCCCTCCCACAGTCCCTCATCATCTCCTCCCCGTACCTTGGAGTGGCCCAGGAGGGCTGTGTGAATGCCAGGCTGGGGGGCTGTGAGCCTGGGGGGGCCGGGGGATGTGAGCCTGGGGGCTGTGAGCCTGGGGGCTGCGAGCCTGGGGGGCTGGGGGCTGCGAGCCTGGGGGCTGTGAGCCTGGGGGCTGTGAGCCTGGGGGCTGCGAGCCTGGGGGCCTGGGGGCTGGGGGCTGTGAGCCTGGGGGGCTGGGGGCTGCGAGCCTGGGGGCTGTGAGCCTGGGGGGCTGCGAGCCTGGGGGGCTGCGAGCCTGGGGGGCTGCGAGCCTGGGGGGCTGCGAGCCTGGGGGGCTGTGAGTCTGGGGGGCTGTGAGCCTGGGGGGCTGGGAGCTGTGAGCCTGGGGGCTGTGAGCCTGGGGGGCTGTGAGCCTGGGGGGCTGTGAGCCTGGGGGGCTGTGAGCCTGGGGGGCTGTGAGCCTGGGGGGCTGTGAGCCTGGGGGGCTGTGAGCCTGGGGGGCTGTGAGCCTGGGGGCTGGGCTGTGAGCCTGGGGGCTGTGAGCCTGGGGGGCTGTGAGCCTGGGGGGCTGTGAGCCTGGGGGGCTGCTGGGCTGGGAGCCTGGGAGGACCTGGAGAGGGTCTCTCCCCCCAGACCTCTCCCCTCCTCTCGGTGCTCAGTCCTGGCTCAGTTATGCCAAAAATGCCACAGGCAGTTGTGTGGCCAAATAAGGCAACGCGACGTGTAAACAAACCCCGGGATCAGAATCAGCGCCGCGGTCCCTCTCTCTCTCTCTGTAATGTGTTTCTTGTCCTATTGAGTCAAGGAGTCCAATACACACTCACACTCACACACAGTGAGTTACACACACTCACTCACACACAACAACAAGATTCCATTTATAGAGTGCCTTTCACGTCAGGAGGACGTCCCAAAGCGCTGTGTGTAACTCACACAGTGAGTTACACACACACACACAGTGAGTTACACACACTCATAGTAAGCTTCTTACTCACACACTCACACACAGTGAGTTACACACACACAGTGAGGTACACACACACACAGTAAGCTCCACACTCACACACACTCACACACAGTAAGCTCCACCACACACCACCACACACAGTAAGCTCTACACTCACACACACACACACACACACACACAGTAAGCTCCACACACACACACACACACACAGTAAGCTCCACACTCACACACAGTAAGCTCCACACCCACACACACACACACACACACAGTAAGCTCCACACTCACACACACTCACACACAGTAAGCTCCACACTCACACACACTCACACACAGTAAGCTCCACACTCACACACACAGTAAGCTCCACACTCACACACACACACTCACACACACAGTAAACTCCACACTCACACACACACACTCACACACACAGTAAGCTCCACACTCACACACACTCACACTCACACACACTCACACACAGTAAGCTCCACACTCACACACAGTAAGCTCCACACTCACACACACTCACACACAGTAAGCTCCACACTCACACACACACTAAGCTCCACACTCACACACACACACACACACACAGTAAGCTCCACACTCACACACACTCACACACAGTAAGCTCCACACTCACACACACACACACACAGTAAGCTCCACACTCACAGCTGATAGTCTTTCCCCCCGAAGTCGCTGTTGCAGACACTGATCCCCTCACAACACTGTCAGGAGGTGTAGGTGCTCAGGACCAGCAGCGATGGGGTGGGTGATGGACCTCCCCAGTGAGGGCAGACTATAGTGTTACAGGATGGCTAATTACAGCCTCCAGCTCCTCTCTCTCTCTCTCTCTGGCAAACCCACAGGAATACCAGCCTTCCTCAGACTAGGAACGGGACTGTAGGATAGGGAAAGACTTCAAGCCTTCTCCAGCTGCACATCCATGTGCTACGTTTTTTTTATATAATCGATTAATTTGTTTTTCTTCCAAATAACAGAAGCAACAAGTGAACCAAGAACACTGCCAACATGTTCCGCCACGCACTGTGTGTGTGTGTGTGTGACACCCCTTACTCCAGCTTCAGCCCCACACCTTTTCACCTTCAGCCACAAAACACAGTCAATTTACTTTACAGTATATCCTGTGAAGCGCTTTGAGATGTCTCAAAGACGCTATAAGGCGCTGTATTAAATGCCAGGATTATTATTATTCATGTCAGGCAGAGCTGAACTGTGGAATATTCTTAAATTTAGTCTAAATTTAGAAACCATTCTTTCTCCAGTTCTTAAAAAGAACATGGCTTCCAGAATACAACTGGATTTAAAAATATTCCAAATTTTATTGATGAAAATAATAATCTTTGAATTTGATACAGCGCCTTATCACGTCTTCTCGACGTCTCAAAGCGCTTCACAGAATACACTGTAAAGTGAATTGACTATATATTTGTGGGTGAAACGCGGCAGCCAATTGCACACAGCAGCGTCCCACAGACAGCCGTGGGTTGAAGTGACCAATTTATTATTGTTTTATATGGGATACAGCTCAAAGCTTGTGCTATAATTACCATTGAGTGTAATAACCATATGTTTGTAGGCAAAGAATGGCAGCCGACAAGCAATTAACCTGGGGGATTGTCAGCTGGAAACCTGGGGGAAAGTGCTTTCTGGTTTCCCAATAGCGTAGTGGGATCTTTAACTACCACCTGAACAGACAGCCACAGACTGTTTGGTTTAAAGATTCACTGAAAGTACAGCGTCTCCAACAATGAAGTGCTGAGTGTCAGCCTCGACCACAGGCTCAAACCCACAACCTCCGGACACACGGACCAGAGAGCCAGCTTTCAAATTCCTAGTCATCCACACAGGCACGTAGTAATGTTCTTCCCTGCCTCGCCCTCACCCCTCCCTCATCCTAGCACCGTCCCTCAGCCTCACCCCTCCCTCGCCCTCACCCCTCCCTCATCCTCGCCCTGTCCCTCGCCTCCCCCCTCCCCCACTCACCTTCCATACTGTCCTCCCGATGGACATTGAAGTTTTCGTACGAATCCCAACGGATTAGGGGGTCTGACGTATTGTAGTCCACAGATACACTCGGTCCATTTTCCAGGTGCTCCATACCTGTACCAGAGTTGTCACCCGTTAGTGACCGAATCATCCCGTTAAACTGTGACCCCCCCCACCCCCGCCCGCCCTCCACATCTCCTATCCCACCATTTTACACACAACAATGTCCCACAAGCAACCATGAGGTGACCCACTGATTAACCTGGGAGATTGGCCACCTCCACCATATTGAGAGCTTTTTCCCCCAAAAGTGTTATAGGATCTTTGTTTCCCCGAACAGGCACACGGGACCTCGATTTAACATAGAAATTTACAGCATCCAAGGCCGTTGTGTCTGTGCTGGCTACGCCAGAGGAACCCATTCACCTGAACTCTGAAGGGTGTCAGCTGTGACAATTCAGTGCTCCCCCAGTCCTGTGCTGGAGAGACTGTGAGCTCCAAGGCCCTGAGTGGGGCTGAAGCCCACAGCCTCCTAACTGCGAGGCGGGAGGCAACAAACAGAGAGAACATCCAGGGCTACGGAGGAGAAACTGTGCCAAGGGTTTTAACTGAGTTGTGAGGTGTCTATGTGTCAGGATGGCCGCGGGGCGCCCTGTAACCCAGACACAGTGTCCTGAGCCAGGTGCTGACTGCCTCGTGCAACAAGGCCCCGGCCCTCTGGCGCCAAGTGTCAGGCTGCTGGAGATTTATTGGCCTATAAAGAGCGCCAGCACTGTGTGTTAAAGCCAAGGCCTATATATACCCCCATCTCTCCAGATCTGAGGACTGTGCGTCATTGCAGACCAGGCTATTTACAGCCCCCGCTCCCAAAATTCATCTAAATCCACACTGAAGGGGCAAATGGCCATGTACATAGAGATGAAAGACTTAAGCAACAGATTTTATTTAAACGTTCAGATGGAAAGGAAGTAAAGAGGAGAACGAGGCCATTCGGCCTATATTGAGCCTGACCATTGCTGCTCCTATCTTACTGTTTATTACTAACCCCACTTCCCAGCTCTCGCTTCACTTCCCTTAATATCTGTCCTGCTCAGCTGCTTACCCAGTTCCCTTTTGAACGATTCTACAGGGGACAGAGGGAGCAAGAGAAGAGGAACGAGAAAGAGAGAGAGAGAAGGAACAAGAGACAGGGCGAAAGGGATCGAGAGAGGTAAGCAGAAAGAGAGAGGAAAAAAGGAGAGGAAGAATGAGCTGGAGAGAGACAGAGCATTAGAGAGGAAAGGCATACGAAACACAAGGCTAAGTGAAGGAAACGGAAGCCGTGGTGACAGCTGACAGCTGTGGAAGGGTCACTGTGCCCCTGATAGAAATACCTCAGCCTGGACACCAGACCCACCTCGGATCTTCTCTGGGCCAAACGAGAAGACAAACTCCACTTTGGCGTATTCAGGGAATCTGTCATCTGAGGGGAGACGGGAGGTTAGACACATGGAGCCCAGTGATGGATCACCCGACAGGCTGTAAGCCAGAAACCCCCCCCAACCTCCCGCCCCCGAGCCCAAAATACTCTGTGATCAGATCATTACAGATAGGCAGATCACCTTGGGTTTGAGGGGTGGAGGGGGACGGGTGAGGGGTGGGAGGTCGGGCGAGGGGTGGTCGGGCGAGGGAGGGGGTCGGGCGAGGGAGGGGGTCGGGCGAGGGAGGCGGTCGGGCGAGGGAGGAGGTCGGGCGAGGGAGGAGGGGGGGGCAGATTCTGCGGTGTGCATCTCCAAGTTTGTTGAACGGGAAGAGCAGGTATCGAGGGTCAGTGGAGGGCCCCTCAACACGCGGATGAGGTGAGGCGTGAAAATCTGACTCGGGATGTTTACCTTTGAAGGCATCGTCCAGGTCCTCCTTAGCGAAGACCAGACCGAGGTCGTGGACAGCGCAGGTGTGGAACTGCAGCCGGAACACCACATCTCTGCTCGGGCTGCGGAACTTCTTGTGGTAGCATTTCAGCTGTGAGAGCCGGACACAGAGGTGCTGTCACTCCTCCCCATCGCTCCCCCAGCGTTATCTCCCCCCACCTTCCCCGGTAACCATAATAATAAAAATAATAATCCTTCAACGTGAGCCAAGCCTGTAGTATTGACACGTTCTCCAGTGTTTCCCAGGGCCTTGCTGTCCGCTCTGGTCACTGTGTATTTACTGGCTGACGGTGTTACATTGCTGTGTGCAAAAGATGTCAGGAAACAGCTCAGAGACGAATGAGTGATTTGTCGTCAGCCAGGACACTGGCGGAGAGAAACCCACGTCCATTTTCCCAACAGCGTCTTTAACGGCCGCCTGAACAGGCAGTGGTTTAATGTCCTGTCACCAGTGACTATGCAGTGCTGCCCCAGCACTGTGTTCAGATATCAGCCTCAATTGTGAGCTCAAAGTTCCTGATGTGGGATTTTGAACGTGTGATTGCGGGTGTCAGTGGGAATAGATTAAGTGTAGAGTTCCTGCCCTCTGATGGAGCAGGTTCCTGGGATAGTATAAACACAGCTGTGCTGAGCTGAGCTCCCTCACTGTACTCGCACCTGAACTGCTCAATCACCAGCAAACTACACTCAGCTCACACTAATCCCTTAATCTCTCCCATTTGCCGAGTGTTAACAGGAAACGTGATCATTGCTGTGACCAGGGAGATGGGCTTATCAAGTCACGATCACAGAGGGTCACGAGGGGGTAACTAGTGCTGCTGATGTCAATGTGTCGACCAGTCGGTCACCAGAGGCTCACGTTTAAACTATTCCCCAAAAGGATGCAAAGGGGAGGTTAGAACCTCTGTCTTTACACAGCGAGCGGGGAGGGTGAGGGGGGCGAGGAATAGAATGGGGGCTCACGTGGAGACAAACACCAGCACGGTCTGGCCAGGCTCAATGGCCCGTCGCTGTGCAGGAAGCAACAATTCAGGAGTAAAAAGATTAACACACTCTCGTCCCCAGAACCCCATCCCCTCTTGAATTTACCCACACAATCTGCCTCCACCTCCCCGCCTCATCCTCTCTACATTCCCCGCCTGCTCTCTGACCTGCCTGCTCTCCCCCTCCTCCCGGGGGGCTCTCCCTGTCACTTACCAGGATATCTCCCTTGAGCATGAGGCCGGGCTCGATGGTGATGCACACACTGTTCTGACCGTCACTCGGGACGGTGCTGGCCAGGTTCAGAGAGGAAAAGACAGAGAATTAGTGTTACCAGCAAACGGCTGAGGGAGGCCCTGGTACCAGCGCGGAGTGCAGTTATACTCACTAGATGCCCGAGGTGTAGACCGGCTGCATCCCCTGGTAAATCCGCAGGAAGGGACGGCAACCTGGGGCAACAGGACAGTCAGTATCCAGTCAGTCACACTTCAAACAGAGAGAGAGAGGAGGGGACAGAGAGAGGGGAAGGGGAGAGATAGAGAGAGGAGAGAGAGGGGGGAGAGAGAGAGAGAGGAGGGGGATTATAGAGAGGGGGGATAGAGAGAGGGGGGAGAGAGACAGGAGGAGGGGGATAGAGAAGGGGGAGAGAGACAGGAGGAGGGGGATAGAAAGGGGGGAGAGAGAGCTGGAAGAGGCATTACTCACCGTGTTGAGACTCGAAGCTGGGTACGCCGTGCATGATGACATGATGCAGGAAGAGAGGTTTGTTGTTCATCTTAATGGAGCCGGTCAGGAGGCCACTGAAGTAATGGACGTACCTATAGCAACAACAGCGGTCAGTGTCCAGCCAGCGCTGGCCCACCCCCACGCTACTGTGTTCTCTCACTGACCACTAGACCCTGTTACTACCATACCTCGACTGACCCCCAGTCCCCCCGCACCACCTGCCCACTGCCCCCCGCACCCTCCGCCACTGCCATGACTACCCTGGAGCCTTCTGAGGGGAAGTCCCAGCCTCACCTCCTCTGGGAGGGCTGCCCGACCGGCAGCACTTTATCTTCATAGAACTTCTTCATGGCGAATCTGTCCAGAGCCTGGTCCGCACTTGGGAGACAATGAGGAACATCCAATAATAATAATAATAATCCTCGCATTTGATACAGCGCCTTATCACGTCTCAAAGCGCTTCATGGAATATACTGTAACACCCCCCCACCAGTTACCCCCCCACCCCCCCGAGCACCAGCACAGACGAGGAGTTGGATGGTGTAGTTTCCATGATTATATTTTGCATTTCCAGACGCGGTGCCGGACACCATGTGCAGAGCCTCTGTCTGGTCACTGGGGGGCGGTATCGAGCTGCGATCGAACGCTGCTGCCTTCGGGGGCTCGGGATGAGGACGGCAACGGCCGGGAGCAACCGGATAGCATCCCGGAGCACTTACACTCACTACCACAGTAGTAACACTACCCGCTCCGCAGTAACACTACCCGCTCCGCAGTAACACTACACACTCTGTAGTAACACTACACACACTGCAGTAATGCATTACACACACTGCAGTAGCACTAGAGTGAGGAGTATTAATTGAATGGCGGTGTATAGCTCGGAGCAGAGGAGTAATAGGACTTAGGAGCGCAGATCCTTGAAAGTGGCAGCACAAGTGGAAAAGGCTGTGGGAAAGCTAATAGTATTCTGGGCTTGATACACAAGGCAGCGAGGACAAAAGTAAAGCAGTAATGCTGGATTAGTACCAAACTCTATAGGCCACGGCTGGAGTATTACGTTCAGTTGTGGGCAGCTCACTTCAGGAACGTTGTTAGGGGTGGGGTGGGTAGAGGAGATTTAGGAGAATGATCCCAGCGATGAGGAGGGGCTTCAGCTATGAGGAATTGTTCTGTTCTCATTGGAGCTGATAATAACAATAATAACTCTTGCATTTGATATAGTGCCTTATCATGTTGTTGAGATGTTTCAAAGCGCTTCGCAGAATACACTATGAGGTGTAGTGACTGTGTATTTTGTGGGCGAAATGCAGCAGCCAATTATGCACAACAGTGTTCCACGAACAGTCATGGATTGAGTGACCAAATTATTATTATTTATGGAGGGATTATTACCCCTGGAAAAGTAACAACTGGTTCCTACTTACTGTTAGGTAAACAGAGGCACGTGGAGGCAACCTACCCGGGAATCGAACCTGGGTCCGCTCGCTTGCCAGACGAGCGCACTAACCACTGCGCTACAGGGCGTCAGTCACAAGATAATCACAGGAGCAAAAGGAGAACTTGGGAGAATGTTTTCACTCAGAGAGCTGTTAGGATGTGGAACACCAGATAAAGTGGGGAGAGAGAGAGAGAGTCCCTCGTGGGTTTCAAATAGACGGGTTTATGGACATTAGAGGCTTGAAGGGAAGTGGGGATAGGGCTGGGCGGTGGGATTACATGGACACCTTGCTCTGAGAGTCAGTGCGGGATCCATGAGCTGAATGGCCTCTGTTCTAAATGTCAGTGATTCAATGGGTAGCCCCACAGGGTGTGTGTTCTATGACGGGGCGAGTGTTGGCTGTGGCTGAGGTTGTGGCTGTGGTTGTGGCTGTGGCTGAAGCTATGGCTGTGACTGAGGCTGAGGTTGTGGTTCTGGTTGAGGCTGAGGCTGTGGCTATGGCTGTGGGCTATGGGCGTGGCTGAGGCTCAGTCTGTGGTTGTGGCGGTAGCTATGGCTGTGGTTGTGGTGGTAGCTATGGCTGTGGCTGAGGCTGAGGCTGTGGTTGTGGCTGAGGCTGTGGTTGAGGCTGTGGTTGAGGCTGTAGCTATGACTGAGGCTGTGGCGGTGGCTGTGGGCTGTGGCTGTGGCGGTGGACTGTGGCGGTGGGCTGTGGGCTGTGGCTGTGGTTGAGGCTGTGGCGGTGTCTGTGGCGGTGTCTGTGCGGTGGCTGTGGCGGTGGCTGTGGCTGTGGCTGTGGCGGTGGGCTGTGGGCTGTGGGCTGTGGCGGTGGGCTGTGGCGGTGGCTGTGGGCTGTGGCGGTGGCTGTGGGCTGTGGCCGTGGGCGGTGGGCTGTGGCGGTGGGCTGTGGGCTGTGGCGGTGGCTGTGGCTGTGGCGGTGGCTGTGGCGGTGGGCCGTGGCGGTGGGCTGTGGCGGTGGCGTGGGGTGGCGTGGCGGTGGCGGTGGCGGTGGGCTGTGGCGGTGGCGGTGGCCGTGGCCATGGCCGTGGCGGTGGCCGTGGCGGTGGCCGTGGCGGTGGCCGTGGCGGGAGCTGTGGCGGTGGCCGTGGCGGTGGCTGTGGCGGTGGCCGTGGCGGGAGCTGTGGCGGTGGCCGTGGCGGTGGCCGTGGCGGGAGCTGTGGCGGTGGCCGTGGCGGTGGCCGTGGCGGTGGCCGTGGCGGTGGCGGTGGCCGTGGCGGGAGCGTGGTGCCTGGTACCTGGCTGAGATGTTGCTGTAGTGCATGTAAGCAGCGATCACCACACCCATCCTTCCTCGGTTACCCTGGAAACCAAAATCGCATCAACGTCCTTAGTGAGTCCCACAGTGAGTGCGTCATCCACAGCGTCTCTCACACACACCCACACACACACACAGCGTCTCACACACACTCACACACAGCGTCTCACACACACACACACACAGCGTCTCACACACACACACACAGCGTCTCACACACACCACACAGCGTCTCACACACACACACAGCGTCTCACACACACACACACACAGCGTCACACACACCCACACACAGCGTCTCACACACACACACACAGCGTCTCACGCACACACAGTGTCTCACGCACACACAACCACAGCATCTCACACACACACCACCTACACACACAGCATCTCACACACACACACACACACACGCACGCGGACCTTGTTGTGGATAACGACCACATGCTGGCAGTCGGAGTTCAGCCAGGTGTCCATGGCTTTACATATACTGCAGATCTTGTCCAGAGCCGGAGCGTGGAGATCAGGCCATCCGAAGTCCAGCACCTAAACCACCAGCACATAGTGTGAGAGCGTTAGCCAGAGGCCAACAACAACTTGCACTTATATAGCGTCCTCCATGCAGGACAGAGTCTCAGAATGCTTAACAGTGGTGGAGCCTGACTCCGAGCCCCAGGGGGGTGGGGGGGCGCGACAAAAAGAGAGATTTCTAGCTGGACTTGAAAAAGGGGAGAGAGGGCACGAGGCGGAGGGATTGAGGAGAGTGTTCCAGAGTTTCGGGGCATAGTGGCTGAATGTGTGACCTCCAATTGTGGCGGAAGACATGAGGGATGAGCAGGAGCCGGTGCCAGTTGAGCTGAGGCGCCGGGTGCTGGATTGGGGAGTGAGGAGGCCGGAGAGGGAGGGAGGAGGTGCCCAGGGAGTGAAGGGATTTGAACACGAGAGTGAGAGGATCTTGAAGTCGATCTGTTTGGTGATGTGGACCCGGTGGAGCCCGGGCCAGAACTGCTGAGATGTGGGGACGGAGTTTGGTCCGGGTCAGTATGCGTTAGTACAGGGAGTGGGGATTGGCTATAGATTGTCCTGGGACAGTGACAGGGAGTGGGGACTGGGTACAGACTGTCCTGGGACAGTGACAGGGAGTGGGGACTGGGTACAGACTGTCCTGGGACAGTGACAGGGAGCGGGGACTGGGTACAGACTGTCCTGGGACAGTGACAGGGAGTGGGGACTGGGTACAGACTGTCCTGGGACAGTGACAGGGAGCGGGGACTGGGTACAGACTGTCCTGGGACAGTGACAGGGAGTGGGGACTGGGTGCAGACTGTCCTGGGACAGTGACAGGGAGCGGGGACTGGGTACAGACTGTCCTGGGACAGTGACAGGGAGTGGGGACTGGGTACAGACTGTCCTGGGACAGTGACAGGGAGCGGGGACTGGGTACAGACTGTCCTGGGACAGTGACAGGGAGTGGGGACTGGGTACAGACTGTCCTGGGACAGTGACAGGGAGCGGGGACTGGGTACAGACTGTCCTGGGACAGTGACAGGGAGTGGGGACTGGGTACAGAGTGTCCTGGGACAGTGACAGGGAGTGGGGACTGGGTGAGGACAGAATGGATAGGGCCGGAGGGATGGGGTTTGTAGAAAATGTGACAGTCCCGAATTGTTTGGTCTCACCTTGGGATTGAATTTGCTGATATCATGACGTCTCTCGGACAGGTTAAAGATCTGAAAAAGTCCAAAAGGAATGTCACTGAATGCTCGTCTTGCTCAAACCTGTGTTTGATTATCTATTAGCCCCATTCCACAAGCAGTTTATCTCTAACACTCTGAGGGCTGAGACCCCCTCTCTCAGCGCAAACAGTTTTGTTATAAAGTTTAAGAAGGCAAATTGTCAATTGGAGGCCGGTGTCTGTTTGTCCAAATGAAGCCTGGAGATAAGAACTGACCGCAGTTCTGCATTGTCCTGAAGTTCAAACGGAACGGTGTGACCATCAGAGGCTGAGGCTCTGCTTCACACACAGCTCAATTTACAACATGTTCATAGCTGATCACTTGATCGGTTTCCGTGTGTTAGACACACGGCTGACCATGGTGTTGGGTTTCCGCGTGTCAGTCACACGGCTGATCATAGTGTTGGGTTTCCATGTGTCAGACACACGGCTGATCATAGTGTTGGGTTTCCATGTGTCAGACACCCGGCAGATCATAGTGTTGGGTTTCCATGTGTCAGACACACGGCTGATCATGATGTTGGGTTTCCATGTGTCAGACACACGGCTGATCATGATGTTGGGTTTCCATGTGTCAGACACACGGCTGATCATGATGTTGGGTTTCCATGTGTCAGACACCCGACTGAGCAAAAAAAAGCTGTGAGTTAGTAAGAGTCTCTGACCAGGTAATTGTCACCATGTTTGGACAACAGCATCTGTGCCACTTCCCTCAGGTTCCCACGGTAACTGTGCTCCTCCACGCTGCTGGGGAAGGAGACGGAGATGATCCGTTCGGTGATGTAGGTCAGGTCGACGTCCGATGGCTCCTCCATGGTTTGTACCAGACTTGTGCTCCTGTGTGACAGTCAATCATTAACACCTGCTCTGTCTCCGACACGCTCTCTGCCGCAGTGCCAGCTGCTGTGTGTACAGCACAGGCCACGTCACAGGAACAATCGCATAACCAAGTTGCACACAGCAATTTCCCAGACACAGACATGACGTGAGTGACCAATTCCATTTGGGGAGTGTTGGCCAGGACACTGGTAGACAGAAACTCCCTTCTCTTTTCGACGAGTGCCGTGGGAATTATAACATCCACCTGAACAGGCAGACGGACCTCGGTTTAACATCTCATCTGAAGGATGTGCATCTGACAAAATAGTGCTCCCCCAACACAGCCTAGAATGTGAGTTCCAAGTCCCAACACACGGCTCAGACCTACAAACGTCTAACTCAGAGGCCAGAGTGTAACCGGCTGAGCCAGGCTGACAAGTGCATGTTCACGTTCAGTAGATGACGGGTAAAAGACAACAATTTCCCTATACACACACACACACACTTACACACACAGACTCAAACACACATATATACTCACTCACACACACACGTACTTACTCTCTCACACATACATTCACACAACCCACTCACCTGGACAGTCTGGGTCTTGACTGAAGACTTTTGGAGGATTTGGTAGAACCCTGGAAACGAGAGAGTGAGAGTAAGAGCTCAGTGGTCCTGATTAGTACAGTGTGACAGAAACATACCAGAAATATGGACCCTGAGGCAGAGATTAGAACCAAATGTCCAGCACACTCTCAACCCAGTTCAGCCAGCCTTTCACCCTCTCTCATCCAGGTCAGAAGGCTGTGGGTTAAAGTCCCACATTCAAGACTTTGAATTCAAAGCTCAGGCTGATTGATGCTCCAGCACAGTACTGGGGGCTGCTGCATTGTCGACGGTGCCGTCTTTCAGATGAGACATTAAACTTGAGGTCCCGTCTGTGCCTGTTCAAATGGAAATGTACAGGGCACGGGGTCAGGGTAGAGGATAGGTGAAGGATATTGCGACAGGCAATTGTGGTGGCAGTAAAGAGAGTGATGGGGGTGTTGAGGGGAACTAGGATGTGGAACCAGGTGATAGAGCATGAGGCACAGTAATGAGAAGTATGTACAGAGATCTGATCACTAGGGCAGTTGTAGTCACCAGAGTAGGCAGCGAAGGACAGTGAGACTGGAGGCTGGAATCAGGTAGGAGCTCGAACAAGAGCTTCTGTAAATGTTCACAGGGAGAAAAAGGCTCACGGGGAGATCAGGGAGATCAGGGAGAATGACTGACTTTACACAGAGACAGGTGGGGAGTGAGTGGAGTGGAGGGAGGAGTGTAGATTGTAGTTAGCAATGATCAGTTCAGGTCTCAGGCTATACTGTACACAGGACTAATCCTCTGTATGGTCACCTCTCGGATGTCTCTTTTCAAGGTTGAAAGGCCCTGGTTTATCTGGTCTTTCCTCACAGCTCCATGATGTCTCTTTGTGGTGAGTTGAGTGTCTGAGATAGTCCTGGGTAAGAGATTGATCAGTGATCTCTGATCTTGTGTATCCTTCTGACAGCTACACAAGGTAGCTCTGTCTGACTGTCTATCTGTATCGTTCTGTGTCTCTGTCTTCAATTTCACAAAACACGACGTGATTAGGCGCTATATCAAATGCAAGGATTATTATTATAGAACACTCTCCCCCATGTCCCGTTTTATACCCACCCCTCCTCGCCTCTGTTAAGCATAATCTTCACACTGGCTGCACCTCTTTCTTTGCCAACAGCATCCTGCTCACAAACCCACAAATAGATTCAGTAACTATACAATCAGATCAATCTGCCTCCTTCCCTCCTCAGCCACTCCCATGTCACAGTACCCCCCCCACCCCCCACACACTGAGCTGCCCCTAGACTCCCATGTCACCCCCCCACCCCCACACACACTGAGCAGCCTCGAGACTCCAGCCTCTTACAATTAACTCAGTCAGGAATCCGCTCTGGCCTCAAGCTGACATCACACACACACAGAATAAACTAAATCTCTTTCGGTTGTGAGTGGGGCCATGTCTTATGACCTGGTTTGTGTCACTCACAACGAGCTCGGTGGGCGTGAGCCCCCCCCGATTGGGGCTCTTGCTCACTGACAGTGGCCAGACTCTCACACAACCTCCCGTCTAACCTCACTAGCAAACCAGCAGATACAGTGTTCAGGTATGCTCTTCTCTCTCTCCCTCTCTCCCTCCCTAACTCTTCCCCTTTCTCTCCATTTACTCCCCTTTGTTTCTGCTCCCATCTCCCTCCTTCTCCCCGTTCTCCCACCCCTTCACTCTCTTACCCTTCGTTCTCGTTCTCCCTCTCTCGTTCACCTCCCATTCTCTTCCATTCTCCCTCTACCTCACATTCTCTCCCTCTCTTGCCATTCTCATCTCTTTCACACATTCTCTCACTTTCTCTTTCACCGCCTCTTCCTCTCTCACTGTTTCTCACTCAGCCTCTCACCCTCCCTCTTTCACACTCCCTCCCTCTCTTCACCCCCACCTGCTCACCTCTGTGAAACTCCTCATGCTCCATCTCCAGAACATGGTGCTCTCTCTCTCTCTTCGCCAAGATCTCACAATACGCTGTGTTGTGGGGATCAGGGGTTTTCCTTTTATTTTGTGTTATTCTCTCTGGAGTCACTCAGCGTTGGTGGGATTTAACAGGCAGGCTGCTGGGTGGCTTCTCTGGCATACTCTCTGCTCCCATTTCTCCTCCTCTCTTGTGGTTCAGTTGCATGACCACAACAGTATCTGGCTGTTTGTAGTCTGCTCCTCTCCACATGACATCCCTCCCGCCCTCTCTCGCTCACTTGCTTGCTCATTCCTTCCCTCCCTCGCTCCCGTGTACCACATCAGCTGATAGGCAATGAACGGGTAATGCCATTAGCGTCCTTAATTCACAACATCTGAACCACATAACTCGGGTTTAACCCTTTGACTACCCTGTCGGCAAGCATGGAGCTGTTAGGTCAAACATAAGTCTCCCTCAACCTAATTCTCTCTCTCTCGTCAATGTTTTTCCAAAGCTTGAATCCTACTCATGTTTCTAGGGAGATTTCTGCACTCTACTCCAGGAGTGGAAACGTGACGGGGGAGGCTATTCAGTCCATCCAGCCTGCTTCACCAGTTTATTAGACCATCGCAGATCTTTTGATCTCATTTCCCCACCTATTCCCCCATAACCCCACAATCCCATTAATCTATCAATCACCCTCTAAATCAATTGCATCTCCACAGCCCCCAGTACTGTGAGTGCCGCTCTCAACCACCCTGTGTAGGTAGTTATGCTTTCTGATCTCACCTCTAACTGCTCTCATGTAATGGAAAGCCTGTGCTCCTGGTTTGGGATCCTCCACTGTCCAGGTTGTCAAGTCCCTTCGCTATTATATCACATGCCTGAATGAGATTGCTACTTAACTTCCTCAGGATTGGAGCAATGCAACACAAGCCCTCCTGGCCTCTCACCGTCAAAACCTCTCTTAAGAGGAGGAAGGGTGTGATGGAGTTTGGGCGGATGCAGAGAGAAGACAAGACCTGTTTTTGTCATAGAATATATGATTGGATTGTACAGGTGATCAGCATATAAACAGTTTTTCTCTTCTCTGTGGGTCCTCTCAAACTCCATCACACTCTTCCTCCTCTTAAGAGAAGTATTGATAGATCATTCAGCTCATTTAGGGCTGAAATGGTATGTTTACCATGCAAGCTGCCCAGTCTGGTGCCAGGCTCCTGTCTGGTGTAAGATCAGAGGGGAAACCAGACATTGAGGTCCATGCTTTCTTGCATCGTAAGGTTCACCTTTGATGTGAGAAGAACTGAGTGTGGGGAGAGGACTGAGGGTGAGGAGAGGACTGAGGGGAGGAGATTGAGTTTGGGGAAAGGAATGAGTGTGATTGATTATAAAAGGATTGATTTTCTCCCAGATAGTTCCCAAGAGTGAGGAATGAGTGACCAGGCCGGGGGTGGGGAGGCTATCAATGGGTGGGGGGGTTTAAAAGAGATTGAAGTAGGCATGTGTACAGGATGGAGATTAGAGGATAAGGATGAGAGTTAGGGTAGGTGCTGGATTGGACACTGGTGTCCTGAGTGGTGTCCTGTTGGTGGAGATTCTCGGGTTCCTGGTGCTGGTTGAGGTGAACCATTAACTGCAACATGTTAACAGCCTGACGTTCACTCACCATGCTCTCTACATGGCTCGGAGTAACCTCAGGACTGGATGGCTGGACAGGAGAGAGAAAACACAAGCGTTACCTGACAGCACCAAATAATCCCACAGCCTGTAATATACCAGTAACAATCACCCACTCTAAGCCACTGGAAGAAAGAGTCTGAATGTAGCTGAGGGAGTGGGGTGTGGGGGGGGGAGCAGATCTGAGTGCAGACTGGATGGGGAGATTGGGGAGGAGCAATGTGCAAGCATAATCCGGTGGTAATGAGGGTGGGGTGCTGTGGGGGGTGCCTAATCTACATTGGCCTTGCCCCATCTTGTACTCACTTTGTGGTCCATTACTAATAAGCACTTCAGTCACATCGAGGAGGAGAGGAAGATCGGAAGGATGATAACCAAATACATGGACAGGCATGTTTAAGAAGGTTTGGAAGTCCAGAGGAAAGAAGATAGAGGGGTTTGGGGAGAAATTTGCAGAGATTGACGAAGGCTCCACCATCGATGGTAGATGGAGGAAGTGAGGAACTAGCAAGAGAGCAGAGCTGAAGGCATGAGCAGGGGATCAGGGCGAGAGGAGATGGCAAAGATAGGGAGAGGTGAGACATTGAGGGATTGGAAAATCAAAACAATAAGAAAACAATCCAGATTAAACAAGGCTAATGTTCCATTAGGGACCAGCGCAAACACTTAAATTTCCCAAACTCTGGAAACTGTGTGAGTCACACGGGCCCCGTCCGGGATTATTGTCAGGGCGGTCTGATGCCCACATCGTGCCGTCTCAGTATACCGAGGCTGTTAGCAATTAGCAGCCAAAACTCTGAGGAAAGTTGGTGTAAGAATCTTTCTGAAGTAACCAAGATTAGTTACTGGGCACAGAGGAAGGGCCGGGAAGAGGGAGGCGCAGAGTGAGTCAGCGAGAGAGGCACAGAGAGACACAGGGAGAGGCACAGAGTGAGTCAGCGAGAGAGGCACAGAGAGACACAGGAGAGGCACAGAGAGTCACAGGGAGAGACACAGCACAGAGAGACCCGGGGCAGAGTGAGGCACAGAGTGAGGCTTTGACTATCTCTCCTCTCAAACGCTCCTATTGATGTGGGGCTGAGCACAAAGACCCCTTTATTCACAGAGAAGAAGACACTTTTATTTCCTCTCCTGGGTGTGGTCTGACAGCCAGGCCAGTCAGTGTGGAATAGAGAGTACTCAGCCACAGCTGTTGCCGGAAGCAGAGCATGTGTTGTCAAACCACAGAACTCGTGGCTTTGGCAAGTAAAGGTCTTCACGAGGCTGTAAACACTACAGAAGAGGGCTCCGAGCCTCCTGCGCTGGTCTCTGGGACAGGAAGTTGAGGCACACAGTCCGGGCTGGTGCATCAGTGCAGTGTTGGGGGGGGGCTGCTGCATGTCGGAGGTGTCGTCCTTCAGATGAGACATTAAGCTGAGGTCCTGTCTGTGCCTGTTCAGGTGGATGTTAAATGTCCCCACGATTGCAAAAGAGAAGGGAGTTTCCCCCTCGCAGTATCCCAGCGCCTTGGGATGTCCTCCCGGTGTGAACTATACAAATGTAGCTTGCTGTTCTTGTTGGCCAACAAGCCTCCAGATTAATCATTCACCTCACTGCTGTCTGCGGGACCTCGCTGTGTGTAAACGGCTGCTGCAAATACCCAGTCACTACAGTTGTGTCTTTCTGTGAAACATTTTGAGCAGTTCTGACCAAATGACCACACCCAGTTAATTGGCTACACTCCCGCCAGGAGCAGAGCGGATATCACCAGCAGCTAACCAGGATGAGCGCAGGCCCTGGCGGTGGAGAGGAGGCGAGAGGGCTGGGCATGTTTGATATTCAGTCTTGTGCAGCCCAGTGCTTGCCACTGACTTCCTCCCAGGCTTCCTAGAACTGCATTGGAGCCAAAATTCATCAGATATAAAGACCGGACGGAACTTCTGCAATCAAGAGATTTACATCAACATGGACCTGGCATGCTGACTAATCCTGAGCTGGCAGTCCCCAGTAATCCCACTGTAATGCCACTGGGTATTCACAGGGTGTGGTCACTCTGTGTGTAACTGTGCAATCACTGTGTGTATAACAGGGTGACAGACACTCACTGTGTTACTGTGCAGTCACTGTGTGTATAACAGGGTGACAGACACTCACTGTATTACTGTGCAATCACTGTGTGTATAACAGGGTGACAGACACTCACTGTGTTACTGTGCAGTCACTGTGTGTATAACAGGGTGACAGACACTCACTGTATAACTGTGCAGTCACTGTGTGTATAACAGGGTGACAGACACTCACTGTATTACTGTGCAGTCACTGTGTGTATAACAGGGTGACAGACACTCACTGTGTTACTGTGCAATCACTGTGTGTATAACAGGGTGACAGACACTCACTGTATTACTGTGCAGTCACTGTGTGTATAACAGGGTGACAGACACTCACTGTATAACTGTTTAGAGTTGCTGTTTATCATCCCGCATCTGGAATGTTCCTGACCACTCTTTGGGGAAAATGAGATTGAAATGATTTCCAGCTTTTCCGCGGTTGCATTTTTTGACAGGAAGTGATTAGCAGCAATCAGGGAACTCCGCGGGAAGGCGGGAGGGGTGGGGAGGGGCGGAGAGGGCAGTCAGGAATGTGGGCCACTCACCCACAGCTAAACCTCAGCACAACAATAACGGGCAGAGAAAGATCAGGTGGATTAGGGATTGATCTGCGGGCTGGAGGGAACTCACGGCCTGACTGAGTGGAAAAGGTCCTGTTCAGCCGTATGAAGCAGGCAAGAGAGCATGAGGAAGGCTGTGAGCTCAGCCTGTCTGTACCTGGGAGGCTGATCTTATCTGGCTGACCCACAATCTTATCTGATCTGAAGAGAGGGTATTAGGGGGTGTGGAGGAATGAAGAGGCAGCACAGTCTGGATATGAGCGCTAGTTAAAGGCCGGTCAAGCAATCCAGACTGACATAAATCTAGACAGGCAAGAATTTACATTTCTCTGGCAGGAAACACCTCGAAGCTCTCGACACAGCCAGGCTGATCAGCAACAACATACACTCACTCACTCGCCAGACAGACAGACAGCCTTCACTATACAACTGTCTGGGATATTCAAAAGGATGAGGATGGAAAGATGTGTCTCCTCAGCCTGGCCACAGACACTGGGCACAGACACTGGTCTCAGGCTGGGAGATGATGGATCAGGAGGTGGGTCTCAGTGCACAGTAACCAGCCTAATGTAATAGTTAGCTCAATCCTCAACTTAACAAAACTAACCGAAGCTGTGCTGGATTACTGCTAAACCATAACCCAAGGAGTTATTCCCCCCTGGATAACACCTTCCCCCTTCCCCTGAGCACCCAAGCCCCCTCTCTCGGGCTGACGTGTTACTCACCAGCTCATAGTTGATTGGAGACACACAGGAAGCCGCTACCTGCAGAACAAGGAGACGAGAGGTCAGACTCAAGAGAAAGACACTATGTATGGATGTGGGCGCTGGACAGCCAGAGGAATCAAAGTTAAAAGAACTTGCACTTGATCTGGAGCCTTGTTTCACAGGGAATTGCTGGCATGAGTATCCTGTAGGCAAACACAGTGGCCATTTTGGTCTCATACACACGCAGACATGAGGTGAATTAATATGTGATTAATATGTAGGATTATTGGGCACCAAATGATAATTGTACAAAAGTACAGTAGACCCTGAAATACTGCACAGTAAGAACAGTTTAATACAATATTCCAGCACAGAGATAGGCCAGTTTGTGCTGGTGTTTGTCTCAGTACGATATGATGGGGAGAGAGCAGGGAATGGGGTTAGAGTAGAGAGCTCCAGTGGGGGAGCGAGCCCCAGCACAGACACGATGGGGAGAGAGAGCAGGGAATGGGGTTAGAGTAGAGAGCTCCAGTGGGGGAGCGAGCCCCAGCACAGACACGATGGGGAGAGAGAGAGAGAGAGAGAGGGAATGGGGTTAGAGTAGAGAGCTCCAGTGGGGGAGCGAGCCCCAGCACAGACACGATGGGGAGAGAGAGCAGGGAATGGGGTTAGAGTAGAGAGCTCCAGTGGGGGAGCGAGCCCCAGCACAGACACGATGGGGAGAGAGAGAGAGAGAGAGAGAGAGGGAATGGGGTTAGAGTAGAGAGCTCCAGTGGGGGAGTGAGCCCCAGCACAGACACGATGGGGAGAGAGAGAGAGAGAGAGAGAGAGGGAATGGGGTTAGAGTAGAGAGCTCCAGTGGGGGAGTGAGCCCCAGCACAGACACCATGGCCTTTATGTTGTAATTTCTTTGACTCTACAAATATTCTACTTCCCAAAACACTCTAAGTACAAGCGTCACACATGTTCCCAACCCAACGCTTCAAATATTTAGCTTCTTATTACTAAAGAAAAACATCCCCCCCCTCCCAGAGAGAGGAGCAAACTGCCAATGTTTAGTGGTGAAAAACTACCATAAATGGCGACTGACTTGAGGCCAGCCATCTGCTGAAGGGAATGCGAGAACAGCCCATGTGTTTCGTAAATGTTTGGAACAGATTTCCGAGGCGGTTTCTGTGATTTACTAAAGGCCTGTCTTGGTAGACTGCCGTGTTCCTGCACAATCCATTCCCTGTCAGGCTTCACTTTCTCAATCCTTTCTCCATAGCTTGGCACATCGTAATGATTCTGAGCAGATAGAGCACCCAGTCTATGCCTTTCCCTGAGTCAGAGGGTTATGGGTTCAATCCCCACGTTGGGGCAAGCTGACGCTCAAGACTCTCCCTCTATCTCTCCGCTTTGCCCCTTCCTTCCCCAGCTTCAGATCGCACCTGAAGACCTTCCTCTTTGACCGTGTCTATGGTCACCTCTCAGCAAAGTGCTCTGCCGCTGTCAACAACAACTTGCATTTACACCGTGCCCCTCATGAGGGGTAACATCCCAGGACTTGACAGTGGCAGAGCATGACGCCGAGCCGGGGGAAGGTGACCGAAGACACGGTCGAAGAGGAAGGTCTTCAGGCGCAATCTGAAGATGGAGAAGGAAGGGACAAGGCGAAGGGATAGAGGAAGCTGAAAGCATGGCCACCAATGGTAGAACGGAGGGCATGAGGGATATGCAGGAGGCCTGAGTCAGTCAGGGGGAGGCAGCAGGTGGGTTGGGGAGAAAGCAGGTCTAGAGGGAGGGATCAGGGCATGAAGGGATTTGAAAACGAGTGTGAGGATCTTGAAACTAGCAAAGCGCTATAAAATGATGAGTCTTTAGCTGGGATAAAGTTTGCAATGCTTGATAGTGAATTATATACCAGTTTCAGAATTTGGCAACTTCTTAAACAGCTTTAATTCTGAAATTATATCAAGAACTGCAGAAAAATGCCTTCATTTTCGGGAGGAATTCAACAACATGCCAAGTTCTGGACACTGTGAAATGTGACAGAAATAGAGTAGATTTACACCCGGGTGTAGTTCCTGTCCAAATATTGGATAAATATCATCATTGCAAAAGACGTCCTGTAGCTCCGTGGTTAGAGCACTCGCCTCGCAAGTAAGAGGACCTGGTTTGATTCCCGGCAGGGCGAAACATTAGGCAAGTTACTAAGCCAGTCCGGAACCTTGGGGTCTTGTTTGACCCTCAACTATCCTTCCTACCCCACATCCATGCCATGCTCCACTCTGCCTTCCCCCATCTCCGCAACGTCGCCCGGCTCCGCCACTGTCTCACACCGCAGGCCGCCGAGACCCTCATACAGGCATTTGTAACATCCAGGCTCAACTACTCAAACTCCCGGCTTGTCGGCCTCCCCAACTCCTCCCTCCACAGGTGCAGATAATCCAGAACTCTGCAGCCCGCGTCCTCTCCCGCACCAGACTCCGCGACCCTATCACCCCCATCCTCTCCCGACTCCACTGGCTTCCCATCACATAGAGGATCCAGTTCAAGATCCTGGTCCTCAACTACAAAGCCCTCCATGGCCTCGCCCCACCCTACCTCTGTGACCTCCTAACCTCCTATCAACCCGCCCGTTCCCTCTGCTCAGCCGGCTCTGGCTGCTCCAGTCCCCCAACCCACCCGCCCCACCATTGGCAGGAGAGCCTTCAGCCACTCTGCCTCCAACCTCTGGAACTCCATCCCCCAATCACTCCGCCTCACCCACTCCTTAGCTTCCTTCAAGTCCCGCCTCAAAACCCTCCTCTTCGACCATGCCATTGGTCACCCCCCTTCCCCTCCCCTCCCTCTCCCCCCCTGACCCCAGCTCGGGTCTGAAATGCTGTCACTGTCCAGTGCCTTGGGACGTCCTCTCGACGTGAAAAGCGCTATACAAATGTAATCTTGTTGTTGTTATTCAGTGGTTACTGTGAATCTCTGAAGAGGCATCAGGTGTCAGCCTCCCTCTCAGTGGCTGGTCTCATGTCTTCCCTTGCATTCCATCCTTCACCGCTGAGGCCAATATATCTGACTGTCACTCTCATGTCCCAACTGAAGGACAGCGCTTCTGGCAATCCAGTGCTCACCCCAGCACTGTGCTGCGGTGTCAACCTGAACTGTCAGCCCAAAGTCCCTGACATGGGGCTTGAACACCTTCACAATGGAGCCTATTGCCATTGTTGTTTCTCACTTTCTCAAAGGGAAGGAATCAACTTTCTAACTTTTCCTGGCATTGTGGCTGCTGAGACATGGAAACATTCCGATCTCTTCACCTGTGTACGTCAAGTCTGGGCTTCAAACTGCTCAGAACACAAGAAGCGGATTTTTATTGCCCTCCTCACCCCTCGTGACTTCAGGTAAAGAGAAACAGATGGAAGGAAATGAGCGTTGCGTGGGAGCAGCCCAGCAATGAGCTTTGGTGAGTTTTCCATGTGCAGTGAGCGTTAGCTGGGGCTGAAGGTAAGGAACGGTGTCCGATAAAGTCAGCTGGCAGGAACCAGCATCGGTTTTCCAGTGCTGAGTTATGTTGGAAGCACAGCATTGGAGGAGGGGGCAGGAGCAAGCCTGAGCTATCCTGCTCAATGGTCCCCAGTCCGAGCACAGACTGGACAGGCCCAACAATCTGCTTCTCTGCTGAAACAACCTATTAGAGAGTCTCTCTCATCTCTCACATTAATGAACACAAACAGCGCAGCCGAACCACAAGGAAACAAACCTATCAGCAGAGTGGAGTGTAGGAGGTGGACAAACACATCCCATGTCTGTGCATATGATTCATACCTTACCAATGCAGGCAAAATTACTGACTGTCCAACACTGCCCTGCTCTCAACATTCCCCGGTCAGCCAGAGAATGACTTAGATACACAGTAAACCTCTCTCTACACTGTCCACCCAACACTCTCCAGCGACAGCACCGGTTAGAGACTTCATTAGAGAATAAAGTCACTACACTTGACAGTAATTACTGTGACGCTCTTTGAGTCTTTTCAATATGATAATGACCTATAAAATGTAAGTTTTTTCATAATAGGGTGGAGAAAGTAGGGTCAGAGCCAGAGGAGAATGAAAAGAAACTAGGACTGACCCCCTGAAAGCTGTAGGGAGCACAGACATGTGATGTAAAGACAACAACAACAACAAAATTACATTTACTGACAGATGTAATTACAAGAGCATGGAGTTGAGGTGTAGGCACTGACAACTTCCTCACCAGTACTCAACAACAGGAAATCTGGTTGTTCCCTCACTTATGACGGTATTCATACGGAAAGGAAATAAACAACCTGGAAAACATTTATATCAATCCAGGAAGCATTCACTATATTAAATATTACATTGAGCTCTCTACTCTAACCCCATTCCCTGCTCTCTCTCTCTCTCCCCATCGTGTCTGGGCTGGGGCTCGCTCCCCCACTGGAGCTCTCTACTCTAACCCCAACCCCTGCTCTCTCTCTCTCTCTCCCCATCGTGTCTGGGCTGGGGCTCGCTCCCCCACTGGAGCTCTCTACTCTAACCCCAACCCCTGCTCTCTCTCTCTCTCCCCATCGTGTCTGTGCTGGGGCTCACTCCCCCACTGGAGCTCTCTACTCTAACCCCATTCCCTGCTCTCTCCCCATTGTATCTATTTTTCCTCTTCAAATATTTATCCAATTCCATTCAAATGTTGTTCTGGTCTCCGCCTACACAGTGATTGTGGTAAATGTTAAACTCCCTGAGGGGCTTCCTCAGTGACTGGGGCCGTATAAATGCAAGTTGTTGTAAGTCATTCCATGATCTGATATCTCTCCTTGTGATAATGTTTGATATATCCTTCCCGAAAACTCTTCCCTTGACCATCTTCAGCTGATGTTTTTGTCAGTGATTCACCAACTCACTCTAACAGTATGAACCTACACTGTAGCTCTGTGTGTGTGGCTGTGTGTAACAGTGTGAACTTATACTCTACCCTCTATGTGGCTCTGATGTCCTCTTTGTAACAAGCACCAAGACCCAGCCTCAGCCACATCAGGTGTAAATTTAATGACATTTAGG